TTAAAATTTGAATGTTTTAAGCACAAAGGCAGAGAAAACGCCTCAATGCAGTGATTCTGAAGCTAAAATCTGCATTTTCTATGTGGAAAGAACTCCAGACCTTCAGAGAAATGAAAGAATTATAATGAAAGAAGGAGGGCGAAAAGCAACCTTCTCATCTCAGTTCAAAGGATACATACATACATATATATAGAGAGAGAGTTCTAAGCAGTTTTCGAATTTGTGTCTATACTAGCAAGTGTCGAGCTGATTTGTCTCTGTACTCTTCTTTCTCAGTGTGTTTCTTCTGTTGTTTTGTTCAGAAAGATGCAGCCAAAAGAGCATTTTGGCCTTCTCCACACCTCCGATGAACATCTTTCATTCGATCAGCTGATCTACAAATACCACTGCAGCTCCAATCGAATGAGGCAACACAGATGTTGCCAGCCTGCGCCTTCCATTCACAATCTGCAGTTTCTCATTGATCAACATTGGAATTGATCAAATTTCCATAATTGAACATAGATAAAGGAACTTGAACTTTTTTTTACCTGTTGTACCACAACATAGCCTACGGTCATCTATATGCTCCACATCCAATCCAAGAAACCATGATCCTAATGAGACATCCTCATTCGCGTACCTGTGAAGTACGTTTCTGTATACACAATTTGTCCTTGGTTAAATACGCAGTCAACGTATGAGCGTATAAGCATTAAACAGATTAGTATTTGGATTAGGCAAGGCTGTAGGCAAGAACTCACTGGTTTATCGATATGTAAGACGCCAAGTCCCTGGAAATCGCGTAGAGCTGACCTGTGGCATGGCGGAAGTATTTGTTACCTTCTTCTCCAAATTTCCAGTACTCAGGTTCATGATATCTCACTCCTCTAAGATCAGAAATTACAGAGAGAAATAAAAGTGAGACAAACATTTGAAATGAGAAGTGGTCTCTTGAAGGCGAAAAGCTTACTTCTGCGCAAGGACGGGTCCAGATTTCATGCAGCCAATGTAGACTCGGGGCTTCACCCGGTGCCTTGCTAATTCTGCTCCAAGCGTGGCTGCAGAAATATCCATAAGAGAAGTGAGCAAAGGCGAAAACTTGAGACGACTAGAAACATAACAACTGAAATAAAGCAAGAGAGTTTTTTCCACCTATATTTACATGCACATCATCATCGACTTTCACGTAGAAGTCTGCATCCCACAATGCCAAAGCCGTGGTAAAGTAAGCTTTAGTCTTTGCTGACAGCTCGAGATAACCTTCAACATGTTCCTGCTCAAACAAAATTAAGAATTAGAAACAGAAAACGAGATATTGGAAAAATATGACGGACATAAAAAATCTGTCCATAACAAGTAGAATTCCATGAGAACATGACCATCAAAAGTCTTACCAGCCTCAAGAAGTCTCCATGTTTTCTTTCTTCTGCCTCAATCGCTCTATCAAGAATTCCACCCGAAGTGGAACTGCCCACAGAGAACACTCAATCAGGAACTATATATATATCAACCTCACAAATAACAATTAGATATATGTGCCATTCTAAGGTAAATGTCTTACCTATGGCCTATTACAAACCGCATCACGATCCCTTTCTCTTCCTCGAGCTTCTTTCTCTCCACACCTAAAAGCGACCCATGTTCAGTCCCAAACAATATACTTAATGCTGAAACCGCTGCTTAGATCAACATACCGGGAGGCATCCAAGTAGCACGGACTGAGTCCCTGCGTTTTCTGCTGCTAAACGCAGTATTTATCCCAACAACCATCAGATACTTTCTTTTGGTGACAGTTTCAGGGAGCTTGAAATCATCAGAAACGGGTGAACCATTCATGATGGATTCTTGCGCTGCTCTTGCGGCTGCTAATTCCATTTCCAGAGTCGAAATCGTTTTATCCAGCGTTCTGCAGAACACCATTCAAGCAAGCTTAATTCGAAACCACGATTAAATCAAAAAGAAGGAACGAAGTTCGATATCAGATATTATTTCACTTACTGAATTGCATCTGGACTCTTGTAAACTTCTCCAAGGATGTCTTTTGATTCACGCTTCACACCTTTCTGATAAAGATGAAGATTGCTATGAATCAAGAATTCCTCTAGTAGGGTTCATGACACTATCAATTCACCTAAATTAGCAAAACTTACTTTTGATGAATCACAGTCCTCTGACACTAATCGCAGCCGTTCATCTGACGCTTCCCTTGATACAAAATTGGATTCAGGCTCTGGCCACATTCTGTTCACATACACAGTATGATTAGAGGATCATCTCTGCTTGTGATTCCAGAAGAAAACGCAACACAATGATTGATTTTGCTTCTTACACAAATGCATCTCAAAGCATTTTGTCTATAGAGAATATATACTTTTGCATATAAAGGCATCTCAGGCTATGTACTTAATTAATTGTCTTTACTTATTTTATGAAGAAACGCAACTTTGCCAATAGAGAATACAAAGAATGAAACTAAAAACCTGGAAAAGGAAAAAATGAAATTTCATCAACATGAATTTTCACGAAAATGTAAATCTGGGTGTTTCGAAAAGTGATCCACCGACAGTCCTAAAAGAGAGAGGATTTTTTTTCTTTTCTGACAAAAAAAAAAAAAGTAGCAAATTTTCCCGGAAAAGTCTTAACAGAGCATTGGTTATGTTACCTGTCGGAGAAGAGAATCCCTGCGCAGAAGAAACCGATACAGAGAAAGAAAGTCCATTTCTTGGAGACAAAACTTTTGGAACCCGAAAGCTCTAATCCTCCTCTATGATGCTTCAACGACATTGTTTTGTGTGTTTCTAACTAAGCAAAACCATCAGAATCTATCGAAACCCTCAAACAAAAAGAATCTCAAAGAGCTGCTAAAACAAGAAGACACCCATGGCTTGACCCGAGTCAAACCCAAATCTTCAGTTTTTCAGATCCAATAGATTCGAGCCTTTTTGCCCTCGGAAACGGAAATAGAAACAGAGAAAGATTAGATTGTGATGTCTCTCGATTGGTCCTAATGAAAAAGATTGGAGAGGAATGTATGAAAAGAGTAGTAGTAAGAGTCAAAGAAGACGACAGACAAGAGAAGCCGTGGCTTTTTGTTCTTGCTTTGTGGTGCGTGGAATTCGAAGCTGGAGGAAGATGAATGGAATCTTTCTTATTTTAGTGCTGATTTTTGTGTTGGGATTATTTAATTATTATATTATTTGCTTTACTAGTTAGTTTTCACTTTACTGTAATCATATCAATTAGATTGGATAGTAAGTAGTAGTAAGTCGAAGAAAACTAATTAAGCTACCGACATGACCATTCAACGAACATATATATAGTCGAAACTGAAAACAATAAACAAATCCTATTTGATTATACAACTCGACCTAATTAGTTTTTTCAGGAGTAATATTAGGTGAGCTTTTTCTTTCTGATTTTAAAAGAAATTTGAGTAGCCAGGCATAAATAATCTCTCCTATTTTTCTTCACAAACACACTAACTCATA